CACTAGCTTTCAGAAAGTAGGGAGGAAACAAACCCTGTTTTGATTACACACACACACACACACATACACACAAAGATCTTTGCTTGCAGCCTACAACTCAAGAAGGTTGTCTGGAGATGATAGGTTGGGGGGATCTCACACTCCAATGTACTGCAAGAGAACAGAAGGCACGGTGGTGGGAATTAAAGCAGACAACAGGCCTGGGACTCGGAGGCACCCGGACGCCCAGGAGGGCACCTGCTCTGCTCCCTGACAAAGGAGCAAGGCTTCCCAGGAGTACAACGCAGTTGGACGCAGTCCGGGCCAAGGAGCACGTCAGCTGTGCCCCCCCCCCCCTTGCTTCTCATAGCTAAAGAAGTGGGTTATCAGCCATGCACACGCACCAGCGCTGCCCCCGGCCTCAGTACATCCCGGCCCTTAACATATTCAAACCCAGGAAACTTCATCCCTGTTCCTCTTCAGCTGCCCACACCTTCTAAAGACAGACAATGTTCCAGGAATGTCTGTAGCTACGGTTTCCCCCACTCCAGCGTCTGCCCTGCTTGTTCCAATAACATCTCTGATGCTCAGGTGTCAGTCCCTTGCCTCTTAAACCTCGAGATACAACGGCCCCGCTCATTGGCTTCAACCTCCTGCCCTAGCACCTCCTTTGCCTTAATCCTGGTACATACCTCTCTAATTTCTGGAAAACGCCAGTGCCCTGACTTGCCCACTCCCTTTCCATTCCCAGTCAACCTCATCTTTTGTATTTTCTTGTCCCTGGACCCAAGCTCAGATTATGTTCCTGCTTCCCTTCAGCAGGTGGGGCCGGATGACTGAGTGAAGATCAGTGGGATGGAAATAAAAAGGATGCGTCACTGCAGGGCTGGTTCTTGAACATCTCCCTCACTCATGCTTCTTTCTCTTTCCCATCTGCCGGAACAATGAAGAGGATTCTAAAGACCGTGACTGACCATGTGAAGCAGGGCTGTCCCCGTCTCGATGACCTCGTTGGACTGTGACAGCAGGTTCAATGAACTGATGTTACAGCAAGCTACTGAAATTCTGGGATTGTTTGTTACCTGGTGGGCTTGTCCTGACTAATACATCAATCAAAACCATTCATATTAGATTGCACAGTCTTTTATTTCAATCTGTCTCCCTTCAAAACTTTAACTCATCTACTCCCTTGGCCTTACATGCTTCCTCCCTACAAAGACCTCAGCTCGGGATATCAATGTCTTGGTCTGTTTTCTGTGCTTCATGCTACCTTCCAGCTGTAGAGCAGAAGAGCAATTCGTAAGCCCAAGAGGACTGATAACACCTCAGTCGGCAGCCCTGCATGGGGCCTTTCACCAGCCCAACTATCGGACAACTTCCCCAATGTGTCTTCAGCTCTTGGTAACACCTAACACTATTGGTGTTAGGGACCTTTCCCCCTTTGAAATGTTCTCTTCCCTTGGCTTCGGTTCTACTACTCTCCACGTTTTCTGACCTCTCTCGTCACTTCCTGGACTCACGTTCAGTTCCTCATTCTTCCGAACTCTTCCTTCTCCATCATCCTTTAAATCCCATACTTCCTTCTGCGCGCTCAACCTCTGGAGGTGATCTCATCGACCCTCGTGACAACTAAAACTTCCATCTCCAGTCTAGACAAGTCTTGAACTTCAGAACCTACTGATGTCACCAGTAGGCACAAAAAATAGGTCCCAAACTGAAATCAGCACCTTCTTCTCCCATCGCCCCTGAAATCTGCTCCTCCGTCATCTGCACTCCCAACAGTGGATCCCTTAGCCATAGCCTGGGGGGATGCTTTAACATCCCAAAATTAATTCTCTTCCTTCCACATACCTCCGGCTATTGACATCTGCATTTTCTTACCCGAATCACTTCAAAAATCTCTTCACCAATTTCCATGTTTCTGGTCTTACTCCTCCAAACCATTCCATACGGCTGACACACAGATCTTTCTAGCATATAAATCAGATGGCATCCCTTCTCTACTGGAAATCCTTCAATGGCTCCTTATTACCTTTGGAGGATAGGTTCTGTCTCTTCTGAACTCTCGACACTTTTATACAACTTTCCACTAGACATTTTTACTCCCATCTCCCATAGTGACTCATACTCAACAAATACCCTTCGGAGTCCAAGTCTGGGTCTTTCGCTGTGTTCCTTTCTCCATGGAGAGCACCACCACTTCACTCACCTAAACCAGATATCTGAACAGCACTGCGCCCCACGTCTCCCCCACCCTCTGCTCATCACGCATCCTGTGGACTCTTCCTACTTCATTCTCCCAAACTCGTCAGCTTCTTCTTAACTTCAATACACACAGCCCGGCCCAGGTCACCATACTCTTTGTCAGCAACGGCCTCCTGATTGGTCTTCTTCTAACCTGGTCCTGCCTTCAGACCTTGCTCCACACTATGGGCAGAATGAGCTTTCTAAAACGTTAACAGGATCATGGCTAAAACCTTACAATGAGGTTCCATTGCTTTCAACATCATAAAATATATCTTTAATGGAGCTTAGCTCCTAGTGAATTTGAAAAATAGCACATGAGATAATAGCAGGACACTGGGGGCGGGGAGGGTGACTTGAGACCGACGGTCAGAGCCAGCCTCTTGCAGACGTGATGTTGCAGTGGGACCTGGAGGCCAGAGGAGACCAGCCTTGGTGGAGTCTGCAGTTCACTTACTTACCACCGTCTCCACTGGGCCACGAGCTCCCTGGAGGCAGGGCCTGTGAGTTATTCATCACTCACTTAAACTCCCACCACAGTTTTGGGCACTCAGGTTTTGAATACATGTTTGAGGAGCGAAGGGATGTACAAAGTTTAAACCAAATTAAATTTACACTTTTGGTCAGTCCAACTTGAAGCTCATGGTGCGCACACATATTTTTGGACATTTGCTGACATCAACTTGTAAAACTTCTAAGCAAATTTCCAGGCAGATAAAGGCACATGGAATTTAGACTTCAAAGAGGAGTTTTGCTTTCCTTAAATCCCTCTAGCATATTTCAGCCCAGATCCTGCAATCTCTGACAACCAGGAGCCTTACAGGCTGTCACAGTGGATGAACCACTTGCTAGGATCCTGCTGGATTTTCAGCTCACCAACCAGAAAATCTGGTATCAGTCAGCAGGCTGGGCCCCTGGCCCCCTGGCTTTGAGCCTCCTGACTGGCAAAACTGTTTTAATACAAACCCAAATCAGCCTCAGATACTCAGGAAAACGGTTTCAAGTCATTATGGTTCATTTCTGCTAACAAGGTAAACAGTAAAGGATTCCTTAAACTATGTTGTATTGCACCTAATTACTGGATTTGATTTCGGAAAATAAGATATTCAGGTTCATAATCCATTACTTGCAAATTAAAAGGTTTTGGGGTGTGTTTTTTTAACCAATTTGACAGCAAAACCTGACTTGGCATGAAAGCATTTATATCTTAATCTATCTGGTGTGACTATTCATTTGCTTCACTACAGAAAAATAACGTTTGAGTACAGGGGGCTGCCTCTGACCCCACAGAAATATCGGGTCATAGATGATATGTGCAACACATTGTTTTTTCTAAACTCCAAAAAATTCTGACCTTCAAGGCACAACTGGGCCCAAGGGGTTTAGAAAAGCGTCTATATCCTATGCTAACACTCACGCAGTTCTATTATCTTTGGGGCTATAAAACTTTCGTAATGCATGGGCTTTGAAATACTCGGCAAAAGTCAAGTCACGAAAACACATCAGCACGACTTGAGCATTTGGAAGTAATATCATCAAACACTGTCGGAGTTTCCCTTCGCATCAGATTTGGAGCGTCCATGCGCCGTACTATTGCCCTTGCAGTGAGCGTGTACCTCCATGGGCTGGAGATGCTTCAGGCCCCGAGGAAAGTTTCATAGGCAAACCCTTGCACATCACACCCAGCCTTAATCCGCACACTGCAGCCTTGGAATAATTTGTCACGGCTTCCAATGTTCCAAAGTGTTTCATTGCTTTCATTTGATAACTTTTCATTATTTTCTTATACTTTACGTGTCTTCTCCCAAAAGTTGCAAGGAGCAGAACCTACCTGCTGGGAGGGAGCAAGGTGTCTGCTCTTGACAGGACACAAACCCAGTACCAGCTGCAAACTGCACTGTGTCTATTATATCCAATCCCCCCAATCACCCTGTGGACTCCATGCAAACTCGGGCTCCATGTGTCCAAGGCCATGTGGCTACTGACAGATCACAATTTGAATGGAGGCACGTCTAGCTCCCAAGTCTGCTTCTTCCAAAACAACACGGGCAAATAACCGGCCCATGTTCCAAGCTCAACTTGTGCATAGTTGGAAGGAAGACTTTCAGGCTGCTTCATCCACAGCGGAAATGAGAGTGGAATCATTTTACCAAGGACATGACTACGTTAGCAATTTGATGGTATCTTTACACGTCCATAAAATTAAGATAGAGTGTCTGGTTTTAAAAGATTCAACTGTAAAGCAATATAAAATTGCCATCATTGCAAATTTGTTTTTGTCTTATTATTTAAAAAAGCAAATACAAATCACTGGAATCGGGAAGGCTTAACAATAAACAGACTAGCTGAGTGATATCCACCCACCTTTCAGGAGCGTCACCGACATTCATTAGAAATAGCATCATACAAAGGCTAACACCATATTCCCACATAGCTCAAAAGGACAGAGGTGGAGATTATTAATGATTTTAATTATTTTAAGGCCCATGAAAATTAGAGAAATACCAAAGCACCCACCATGTTAAGGGTTTATTCCTACAGCATTTTAGAGTTTACTAGTTCATACCTTTCGATCACAGCAAGCTATTAGCAGTGAAGGGATGAACCCTCTTAAGAGGATTTTTATTTCAGTGACAGGGTGTTATGGACAAGACAATCTAAGTTTAAAAAAAAAAATTAGTAGCAAGCGCTAGTTGGGTTAATCAGTTAAAGACGAACGTGCCCATGGGAAGCCAAATGGAAAAGCGGCACTGAAGCTTACAGAACTTAGCTCGTACAATTTGCCTTGAAGGCGGAAGGTTGGTTCCCTGAAATAGCAAAGAATTACATGCTTTAGTTCAGAAAAAAAGTTTTTCAAATAAAGTCTGTTATTACCTCTTCTCCTTTCAAAACAATGAAAAAAAAAAAAAAAAAAAACCTAGAGCAGAGGTTTGGTTTCAATTTGGTCAATAATTGTACCTCTGAATTAAAAACAAAAAAAGCTACTATAAAGTCATCATTGTTTTGACTTGAAAAGAAATAACAATGCAAATATTCATTATCACATAAAACATAAAAGAAACAGCAAACGGTGTCGGGGTTAATGCAATCTCTGTAGAGCGCTATTAGTCAGAGACAGAGGGTCAGCCCAAAACGCAAAAGCTCAGGAGAGCAGATCTTCTGAGGAGTTAACGTCTTTAGTAATCAACAGGAATTTGGTGTGGCAGCGATGAAATGCAACAACCGCCTTCTCTATGAGCTGTCCCTTCACTGTTACCAAGCTGTGCAAATGTGTGAACTAGTCAGCAGCACCCCAAAGCTCATGCAACTACTCACCATACTTTAACCTTGAACTGACTCACAGATTTGATGTTAAACCAAATTTACTGGTAATGTAAGCAAGCAAAGTAGGACACAAGGGGTCAAATTTGAAAAGCAGAGCAAATAGCAGAAAAGTTATTCAAAATAAATCAATAGGGTTAACTGCATAATATAGCAAAATTTAAAAAAGAAATACAATTCGCTCAAAAAAATTTTTACAGCCAAAACAAAACAAAGCCAAAAGCTGCGTTTCCAAGAAAATGTGCGCGTGATTAATTTGCATTAAAAAAAATAGTCAATCAAGCGATCTAGTTCAAAGTCTTTCATACTCGCATGCACTGGTTCTTTGAAGCAATTCCTACCTGATTTCCAATTGTGTTTTTCTTGTGAACTTGACTGCTCCTCTGCTGCGCACTGAGAAAAGCAAAGGAGAGCAGCAATGAAGAACTTGCAAGACTGTCTTCTGAACAAGTAACAGACACTAAAATAGACACAGGCTTTAGAACGGTATCAACCAACAACAGAGGCAGAGCTAATATCAAAAATCCAGGTCCGTTTAATTCTGGAAGCAAAACCAACTCAGTGGAACTCTTCATCCCAATTAACAGTCATAAACCAAAAACCCAACACCACCAAAGGAAGCGAAGCTGCGTCGCCTCATCAATAACAATGCGAGTCTCCGGGGCGTCCTGCAGGTGTGCAGAAGAGTGGTGCTGAAAGTGAACAGTTAACAGTTACGACGTATGTGCATTGTTCTGAGTGCTTCACAGAGATTCGTGATTTCGATTCATTTGAACCCTGTGAAGCAGCTACTACTATTCTTTTTGTTTTACAGATGGAGAGACTGGATCACAGAGTAGCTCAATGAATGTCCCAAAATTACTCAGCTTAAAAATGGGGCACCAATTAGTTTGCCTCCAGATCCCAAACTCTTTGTCCAATCCCATTGCTATGAACTCCACTATGTTCTGACAACTGCCACAGGGCAATGCCAGCTTAGACCTATCTCCCCAACTCTAGACCCATGGATGTTTCTGACGACTCAACATCTCCACTTGATGTCTAATAGGCATCTCAAACTTAATATGCTACAACTGAACTCCTCCCACAGTGTTCCCCTTCTTAACTTTGTATGTCCATATGCTTACGCCCAAATCCTTGATTCCGCTTTCTCTCGCACTCCATACCTGACCATCAGCAAATGCTCTTGATGCTACTCCTTAAAATATGTTTAAAACTCAGCATCTTTCCACTGCTACCACCTTGGTCCATGCCTCTGTGATTTCTGCCTTCACTCTGGCCATCACTCACTCACTCTCTGTTCTCTGCTTCCACACCTGTCCCCCTAACATCTGCTCCCAACACAGAAACCAGAGTGGTCCTTTGAAAAAGGGGATCCTGTCACGGTTCTGCTCAAAACTCTCTACTGCCATGCAACACCACGCCCCAAGGTCGAAGTCAACGTCCTCCAATAGTCCACCAGGCCCTGCTCAACCCTCCCCACCTCTGCTTCTTCGACTCACCTCCTCCCACTCTGCACCTCATTCACTGGAGAGGCCCAGCCACACGGGTCTCCTTTCTCCTTTTTCTTTTTGAACCCACCCAGCACACTCCCACCTCAAAGCCTTTATGCTGGTGGCTCCCTCTGCCTAGAACACACTTCACCAGATATGAGCATAGCTCTCGACATCATCTCCTTCAAGTTTTTATTCAAGTTTATCTTTTCAGCGAGACCTACTGTGACCGCTGTGTTCAAAATCGCATCCCTCCCTTCTCCAGGACTGTCGTCGCCTTTACACTGTTTTCTCTACGGCATTTTTCACCTTCTAACATCCTATATAGGTGACTGAGTTGTGTGTGTTTATTGTCTGTCCCCCTCCATTAGAATATGAGCTTCTGTGAGCAGGGGTTTTGTCTCTTCGACCACTGCTCTGTCCCCAGTGCCTAGAATCCTCTGACTGGCCGGCACACATGGTAGTGCAACAAGCATCTGTCGAATAAAAAGCCCAGGGAGGTCGACACCATCACAACATGACGCACGGGGGTTAAGAGCCAGAGACGAGCCGGCGATGACCCCAGAGCCCTGTGTGACTCTCAAACGAGCGAAGGCTTTCTTTCGGTGACTCCCTGAGTAAACATCTATCGATAGAAGAAAATGCAACTCAGTTTGGTTATTCTGGGGAGCCCAGCAGCACTGAGCCCTCCAACTGGCGGTTTCCTAGTTTATCAAAGCCTCTTTGGAGATCGATGAAATAGCTTAAAATAGAGGAAAAGGGTCACGTCGTGAGCGAAAGGCTTGAAGTGATGGGATATTACAGCTCAGCAGCGCGTCAGAGGTCAGCACCACACCCAGAACGGTCGCTCCAAAGCCAACTTTCCTAAGTTCCCATGACGCCCCTGAGCCACCTCCCTCCGCTCGGACGTGAAGCCCGTGTCCTGTGCTCACACGAGGCTGGCCAGGGGGCGCGGTGAGAGGCCGCAGGGTATTTGATGCTCAGGGTATGTTGTGTGTGTTTTTGCCTTTCAATGTGTTCGTGTTAGACTTTGAGCTATCTTCTTTCCTCATTTTTTTTTGTTACTTTTTGAGTTTTTAGTTAAATGCCTATGTCCCTCAGTCCCTATGAAGACCTTCTCTCTCTGTTTCTCTAAACAACCCGAATCTACATTATTGGGGCTCGTGGTAAGGCTGTGAACGAGGTCGAGCGTGTGTCTGTCTGGGGTGGGGAGTGTGATGCCCCCACACTGCCCTCCGGCTGCCCACCAGGCCCCGGGCACGGAGCGTGTCCACGCCCCGCTGTGGGGGGCCCAGCACCTTCCCCTGTTCTGTCTCACCGCTCCTCCGGGAAGAAATGGGAAGCCACGACCATGATGTGGTCACGCCTTCTTCCTGGGGACGGTCACCTCTTCCAAGTACCATCATCGTGTTTAGGAGTGTTTGTTTGTTATCCTTAAGGAAAAATGTTTTAAAATAAATCACTGACTCGTGGTGATAACTTCAAAGGATGACAGACCCAAACCATTGGGGACCCTTGAATTCACAGGTTCCCTAAAATCACGTAAGAGAAAGGGAGCTGAAGGCACAGGAAAAGGCACAGAGATTCTCGAGGACTCCTGTGCGACCTGAGGCAGAGTCGACCTAAGTGCATCTCAGCTTCTCACCTGTGCGTGTGTGTGCATGTGTACCTGTGTGTGCGTGTGTGTGTTAAACGAAGAGACAGAGACAAGAGGTCAGACACCTGCCGAGCTGCTTCTTTGGCTCCTTTTAGGCCCGAGATGCTTTGAGACGCATTCCCTCAGGAGCGTGAGCCACACCAGGCAGAGGCACTTCTGCTGGAGAGTCTCTGTGTACTAACTAGTGCACACGTAGGGTCTCTGTGTACTAACTAGTGCACACGTAGGGTCTCTGTGTACTAACTAGTGCACACGTAGGGTCTCTGTGTACTAACTAGTGCACACGTAGGGTCTGCCACGTGTAAGAACACAAACGTTAGTGTAGAACAAACACTGAATGACCTTTACTTTCCACCTAAAGAATATTCTTTGTGCATCACCTGGCCCCATCAATCCAAAGATGCTGTTAATGACGTATTTAGGTACTTGAAGTGACTCCACACGTAACATCATAAAAAACAGGCTGCCTCGTTGGAAAACATCCTTCATCATCATCCTTATGAATGCCAGGATACCCGAGCTGAAAGCCCAGTTCAAAAACACTCACTGAAACGTGTGTTCATGGGAAGCCAAGTGAGGATTTGCAGACGAATGTGAGAGCCTTTGGCCACAATCCTGGCCCTAGGTCCTGAACTGGTCATCTGTGCGACAGTGTGAAGCAGACCTCTGCATGAGGTTCGCACTGAACTAAGTCAAAACGGGGAGGGCCCCAGCGAGGTGAGGGCCCCAGCTCTCTGCAAGGCACCCTGTGGAAGATACAAACAGGACTGAGGGGGGGTGGCTGCAATCAGAAGGCCACAACGTGTCTAGTGTGGGGAGAAGGCCACAATGTAGCTAGTGTGGGGAGTGAGATACATACACAGAGGACAAGTAGCAGAGGGAGAATCAGCTGTACAAGACTAAATAGGTGAGGATGTGATACAGAGCCGCCCCCCCGAAGTGCTTCTGGGTCAAAGGTGAGCTGTAATTACCCCGTTGCTTCCCATTGTGTGCGAGTGTTTGCTGTAAGCGTGTGCATTCCTACTGCAACCGAGTCACCGGGGAAGGGGAAGGCTTTTCCCGAACACAGAAACCCATGAAGCCAAATTAGGTTCTCAGTGGAATGCTCTGAGACATAATGGTTTTGAAAGTATATAACAAGGGGTTAAATTCTTGTAAAAATAAGAGCACATTGGAAGACAGTCAAAGAGGAATAAATGCATGTTACCACGTCGCTCAGGTTTTTTTGTTTTGTTTTTTGCATATTTGTGTTCACGATACAGGAGTCGAATCACAGGAGAGGGAGCCAAGGAGCGTGTGGCCATTTCCAAACCCTGTGCGTGGAGACGGCGCTGCATGTTCAGAGGCAAACGAAAGGGGATCATTCTCGTCTGATGTGATCTGAGACTTTCACGGAAAACTTGGAGGAAGGTGACATTTGAATAGAGGAAGACAACCGAGTGCATTCCACGAGAATGGTGGAACATCAGCAGGGCCAGGAGGTCGAAAAACGAGGCATGTGGGAAAGTTGTGGAAAGTAAAACAGTTACAGCAAAATACACCATCATAGACTCGGGTCTGTCACTGACCTGAAAAGCCATCCAGTTCAAGGACTGTGAGGGCCAATTATGGAGAGCTGGGCTGTTCCAGTAGAGGAGGAAAAAGTATTCAACATTTCTGAGCTGGCACATGGCACGATCAAAGCTGTGTTATGTAGAAATTGCCTCCCTGACTCTGAAGCAGGGAAGACAGAAGCCTAGACCCCTCCTTCTGGCTGTTGAAGTCTTGTCCAGCCTTCAGAGTCCAATCAGGGACTATTTCTGGATTATGCCTTCTTAGAAAACTCCAGTTACCTCTCCTTCCCATGGGTTCTCAAAGATCTTGATCAGTACCTGTATTACATTAAAAGGACTGCGCCGGACAGGCCTCTAACTCCCCTCCGACAACGTCTGTTCCTCCATGGCCGATGGCACGTTGCATGAATCTCGGTGTCTCTACCTCCCTCGCCACTGACATGACCTAGCACAGTGTTGGTAGAAGGGGTAAGCACAAGACAGTTTCAACAGAGCCTTTAAGACCATACTGATGAGGTCAAACTTTGGTCTGACAGTAACAGGGAATCCCAGAAGGAATGATAAAGAACATGACGAGACTTATAGCAACCCAAGAATAATTTTAGGGCTCCATCGACCTGCAGGTCACTCTGTGAAAGATATTATAAATGACAGGATTGGACAAATCCAGAGACTACAATAGAGGCAGAA